TGCACAGTGTCAGCAGGGTAATTATACCTTTCACAGACAATAGTAGCATAGAGCCAAGTGATGGCCTTCCCATGTAGCTGTAACATGTTGGCTGTGATAACAAGTGGCGTTATATGCCTGTGCTCTGAATTCACCAAGTCACGCAGGTTGTAAACATCCTACCTCGGCCTGTCTTTGACCAAATCACAGCCATGTTCCTTAAACTCCACCCTGTAGGCCAAGGGAGACATAGGTCTTGTGAGTAATAAACCCCTGAAACTGATTCAGTAGGTCTGAAGTGGAACCAGGCATTTTTGTCAAAAGCAGCACAGGTGACTGTGATGTACAGTCAGAGTTAAGAATCACAAGCTTCTCTGTCAAGTACTAGGGATATAAGAGGGAACACGAAATGGTTCCTGTCCACGAGGAGATCAGAGTCAAGTGAGACAGACAAGTAAACTAGTAATTACAGAAGAGTATATAAGTGCTATGCTAGGGGTAAGCACACCTCTTCCTATATACATTGGTACTATGTTAACTAGTTCATTTCATGGACTATAACACACAAAAAGGAGATTTTTCTCTCATCATCAAACCTAATGACACAAATTGTGATTTTTCATCTTACCTACTCTATTCCTTACTCAAATGAATTAGCCATACTAGACTGCTGAAACTCAGGAGATGAAAAAGCAGAAGGACCAGTTTCTATTTCTAATAACGGTATATGGGAGATGTAAAGGAGGTGAAGAAGAATTGCAAAACAGTGAGCTCCTCAAGGTCAGGGACCGTTTTTCTGTCTTATTAATATTTTTCTCCCTGTGGCATAATTCAGAGTCCAGCATATGAGTAGGCATTGAATCAGTTAGTTTTTTAAATCTGTTTTCCTGATAAAATTAGGAGCCAGCTCTTCTTACCTGGTTTGTGCATACCTAAGATGACTCTGTTCCTTGCTCTCTGACCAGTGACTGCCACTAGAAAACCTATTTTTGCTTCCTCAGAAGCACAGGACATTAATTGTCTTTAAACTTAATAATTCAAAGATCTTTCCTAATCCTTCGTGGTTGATTTTTTTCTTATCCATGTATCCCATTGCCAGTTGATGTTTTAATTTCCATTATTTCATGCCATTCTATTTTATTATTATTATTATTGTTGTTTGAGATGGAGTCTCTCTGTCGCTCAGGCTAGAGTGCAGTGGTGCAATCATGGCTCACTGCAGTCTTGACCTCCCCAGACTCAGATGATCCTTCTGCCTCAACCTCTGGAGTAGCTGGGACTACAAGCATGCACTACTGTGCCTGGCTAAATTTTGTAGTTTTTTTTTTTTTTTTTTCTTTCTTTGTAGAGACAGGGTTTCCCATGTTGTTTGGGTTGGTCTTAAACTCCTGGGCTCAAGAGATCTGCCTGCCTCAGCCTTCCAAGTGCTGGGACTACAAGCATGAGCCATTGTGCCCAGCATCACATGCTATTTTATATTCTTTTGTTTATTTTAATTTCATTTTACACAATCTGCTTTGAAAAAATTACAGACATGAGTTACCAGTATAAAGGAAAGATAGTCCTGGAAGTTTAACCTATCTAAAATAAGGAAAGATATATGCCTTTGATCCCCGGAAAAGTACCAGAAAGTTCCACAAAACATATTGCTCAAAACAGACCTTTTGTCATCTCTTGGTCCCTAACGATGGGACTTAATGAGGTTGACAGGACCACATCTAGAAATCTCTTCCAGGAAATCCATCAGACGTAATCCACATCAGAATTCTACAAACAAGAGTAAAAAGGACCCAGAAGGAAAGCTTCATAGATTAAGTTCCCCTTTTATCTTTAAGACCATCTACTCCCATATATAGCTGAAACTCTTAATGTCTGTTCTCCATGACTTTGTGATATTGGCAAGGCCAAATTGATCTTACAAAGAAAACCTTGTCTGATTGCAGTGGTTATAATTTGTCACTGCAGATTCATATATACTGGGGGTTATACTTAATGTGAATATGATTTATGTAAACTTGAAATTCTATAATACAGAATACTAATAAAATCTCACTTTGGGCGAATGCTTTGAAATGAAAATTGATTTTGTCAAATGAAAGGAATTAGGAATCTCATAGTTTCACAGCTAGCTAACTAAATGAATTATAAATTATGTCCATCCTTCTGCCACAGGAAGGTGCTATTTTAGCTAGTAAGTCAAAATGTCTAACAAACTTTAATGTCAAATTAGCCAGTGCTGTTGTTTATATTAGAACTTCTGTAATTTCAGACATTATTTCATTATTTTTTATTTTTGTTATGAAATATTCCATTTTCATTAATTTAAAACACATTCACTGACAATATTATACAACATTTATTAAGCTTTCTGCCTTTCTATTTTATGAATTAAGAAGTTCTGCATTAAAATGTCAAGAAAGTTAAGCAGTTATAATGTTGAACCATGCTTTTAATTTCTGCAAAATATTAGAGATAATGCTAAGAAAAAAATTTTTTTAAACTATTAAAGCAGAACTATCTTACAGTACTTTTTGATCTGTGTGCTCCATGAATGTTTACTTCCTATTTTGTATGAAAATATATGTACATTAAAATGTATTTTATATTACATTTCTTCTTTGAGAAAATTTCGTTTTGAATTATGCAATATTTGAATCATGCAAGGTCTTCAAGAATGCAACCTTTCTGACGCTTCCTCTAAATCCAGGCTCCAAAATATAAATAGTTGCATGTTTGTTCAGATTCTTAGAATACTTTGAAACATGTTTCCCAGTGACCCAAACTCTTTATCTGGAAAATGAAGGAATGGAATAGCAAATGGTAAGAAGCTGACCTTCGTCTTCAGTTTTGATGTTGACCTCATGTTTCTGAGAGACCTGGTTGTTAGAAGATAAAACACATGGCGTCTAACATTCTTTAGACTTTTGGCAAAGTAATTTTTGTGGAGGAAAGAGAGAACCATCACACTGATTTGGTTTACTTTAAACCACCAGGTTCTCAGTTCTCTGTTATATGTAAGATATTATTTCTCTTCTCTGATCTAGTTCCCAAAGAAGATTAATCTGCTGTGTCTGAACTTTACTACTAGGTGTTTAGATTACTGAAATGTGAACTAAGGTGCTAGCCTTGTATAATTAACTTTTCTTTAAGAAGCATAGTAAGGAGATTCAAATGCCAAGACTGCAGTTATTTTCTGAGATCTTCATTAAGAACAAATCTGTACTAGAGACACTATTTCTCTATGGTATAATACTCTTCAGTAACATGGTTCTAAATAAAAAAATAATTGTATAAATCCATTGGACATTATACTTTAATATCTTTGTATGCCAGTGGTTATAAACTTAAGGAAAATTATATTTATTGGTTTATTTAAAAATTAGGAATTTTTGCTTATCTCAGTTATTAAAGTAGATGGGACATATATGTTTTGATATGCATGTTTTAAAATATATAAATAATATACATGTATTCTGCAGTTTACTTATTTTATATATGCCAGATATATGTTCCTTACTAGACATGATTTGCAAATTTTTTCCCATTCTCTGAGTTGTCTTTCATTTATTGATGGCGTTCTTTGAATGAGAAAGGTTTTTAATTTTGATGAAGTCCAATTTATCTATTTTTTTCTTTTGTTATTTACAATTTTGATGTCATATCTAAGAATCTTTTGTAAAATTCAAAGTCAGGAAGATTTAACTTTATATTTTATTCTAAGACTTTTATAGTTTATATTTTTACAGTTAGGTCTTTGATCCATTTTGAGTTTGCTTTTGTATGTGATATAAGAGTCTAATTACATTCTTTTACATGTGGCTATTCAATTGTCTCAGCATCATTTGTTCAAAAGACTTTTCCCAATTGAACAATCTTGGCACTCTTGTCAAAAATTAATTGACTGAATATGTATGGTTTTATTTCTTGACTCTCAATTACCTTCTTTTGTTCTCTATGTCTTTTGCTATGCCAGTACCACACTGTCTTATCATTGCTTTGTAAGAAGCTTTGAAATTCATAAATATAAGTCCTGCTGCTTTATTTTTTTTTTTCAAGATTATTTGGGCTGTTCTGGGTGCCTTGCAATTCTGTATGAATTTTAAAATCAGCTTATTAATTTGTACAAAGAAGTCAGCTGGAATTCTGATAGGGATTACATTGAATCTTAGGTCAGTTTGGGCTTTGGGTAGTATTGCCATCTTCTAATCGTTGAACATACAGTAGTTTTCCATTTATATAAGTCTTTAATTTATTTCAAAAATGTTTTATAGCTATGACCTTATCACTTCATTCCCATCTGTCTATCCAAATGATCACCTGGTATCATTTTATTTCGGCATGAAGTATTTTTCTTTCAATTTCTTGAGTGCAGACCTGTTAGCAGTGGATTATCTCACTATTTTTTTCTTTAAAATATCTTTAAACCTTTATTTTTAGAAAAATATCTTATTATACTTAGTCTTCTTGGTAAACAGAGTTCTCTTCTCATCACTGTTTATATTATTCCATTATCTTCTGGCCTCCATTGTTCTCATAAAAAATTAGCTGTTAATAATGTTTTTGTTCCTCTTTATATGATGAATTTTCTTTTCTGTTGGCATGATTTTTTTGTTGTTGTTGTTATCTTTGGTTATAGTAGTTTTATGTTGTGCCTATGTGCTGCCTTTTTTGTTTACTGTATTTGTGGTTCATTGAGCATCTATGAGTTAATGTTTTTCACCAAATTTGAGAAGGATTTTCTTATTATTGCTGTAAATATGTTTCCACATTTCTCTTTCTGTGTTCATTGTTCAACTTCAGTTATCCTTTTGAGTTATGAAAGGATTTTTTGCCACATAGTTTTAAACCTTAGAAGAATGCTTGGAAATGAGAGGGGGAAGTATGAATGAAATGCCACCACAATTTTCTAAGAAAACTTAGTTCACTAAATATACATACAACCACACAACTCTTTAGATTTACAGTGAAAAATATTAATGTTACTGGTCTTCTTTTTCTATCTTGACAAAATCCATTCCTAGGTGCATTTCCTCCCTCTGCCATTTATGCACGAAAAGACTTGCTACAGCGATCTACTCATATTGCCACCAAGACTTTCCAGGCTCTTCGCATATTTGTAAACAATGAGCTCAATGAACTCCACACAGGACTGAAGACAGCTCAGAAGTTTCTGAGACCTGGTGGTCGTCTCGTTGCCCTCTCCTTCCATTCACTAGAGGATCGCATCGTCAAAAGATTTTTGCTTGGAATAAGCATGACAGAAAGGTTTAACCTAAGTGTTAGACAGCAAGTGATGAAAGCATCGCAATTGGGTTCAGATCACGAAAACATGGAAGTCTCTATGAGAAGAGCTCCTTTAATGTGGGAATTGCTACACAAGAAGGTACTTAGTCCACAATCTCAGGATATACAAGATAACCCCAGAGGGCGCTCAGCCAAGCTTAGAGCAGCTATCAAATTATAAGTTACCATCATCTTATTCTTCAATTTTTTTTCGCAATTTCTCTAATCTTTACTCTTGTTATGTTCCTGAATATCTTGATAAAGGTTTAAGTGTGGGACAGTCTGAAAATTGATGTGTTTAGCTTTTTTTTTTTTTTTCTCGAAAAGAAACTGTAGGAAATACTAGCATGACAGAGAAACTTCTACTCAGGGAGCAGCAGCATCTCAAAACTGGAAACGTGTTAATCTTTGCATCATATTGGACACTTGAAATGCAATCCTTCCTCTGGCCAGGAAATTTTTTAAAAAATAATACTATTTTGTGTTTATCTAAATATGTAAACTCAAGCTGTCAAAGATACATAATCATACCTGCATGTCCTAAATTTTGAATTTAGATATTCCAATTTGCAACAATCTTTCTCTGGCTCAAATAATGATGATTATGGAATGAATTTTAATGTCCCTACTTGTGAATAATTATTATAGCTTTCTCAAATGTAGGCTTTTTACAAATTTAAAATTTTTTAATATTAGTTTAAATATGTTATACTGCTAAAATTTTATTTTTCAAATTATAGTTTATTATTTTAAAGGGATTTTTCAGTATGATATGGGTCATTTTGTTCATATACTCCAAAGTAAAAATATAAATCCTTACAGAGAATTATTTCACAAAATTTGTATTTCATGTCAATTGTATTTTAATAATAGCTCCCAATGCCTTTAGTAAGTAATAAAGTCTCTTATTAAAATCTTTTATTTTTCATTTGAGCTAATCAAAGTAATTCAACCAAGTCTATTTGCAATAGAAAACTAACTATTTAATATAGTAAAATCGGTGCTCCCTTAATGTTGTTACAAAGATATGGTAACTGTAATATGTGTAAAAGTTTATTCAGGAAAAGAGTACTTGGTAGAAGATTCTTTAACAAATTGATGAAACTGGTTCATAATTCACATGTCCACTTCTTATATGTAATATGTACTTCTAATTTATTCAGTTATTCAGCAAGTACTGAACTTGTTTAGAAAAGCAAAGGTAAGTACAATATACATGGCCCACAGTACATGTCCTATAGAGTTTAGTATAGGAAAATTATGTTAGTTATAATCACAAAAGTCAATATAAAATGGACACTGTGGTAAATACTACAAACAAATCATAAATGGTACTGTAAGACCATTTAGTAAGTATTTTATCTGTTGTCAGAAACCAGGTATGAAAACATGATACTTGAATTGTGACCTGAAGGATGAGTTGGAGATAATTAGTCAAAGGGTACATGGAATAAAGAAGGGGACATGTTGATTAACAGTACATATAAATAAATATTACCTAAATTAGTTAACCTTGAAATCATATTTATACTATTAATTTGCTCAGTAAACTTTTTTCAAATACAGATAAAAGATTCTCCATTATGATTACAAATTTTAAGTTGGTGAATCCAAGTGAATGAAGTATCGACATAACTGTATGGACAAAATACATAAGAATTAAGTACATGAATTTACCTCAGTCTTATTTTATCTACCTTGTAATATTTAACTTTAGTAACCAAGCTTGTTTACTGCTTCTATTGTAAAGGTTTTATTTAAATCTAAATAATCCTACAAGGAAATCAGAATTAGAAAAAAAATTCTGGAGAACAATATGCTTGAAATAGAAACTAGAGAATGCACCTAGGTTAAGTCCCTGAATCCTACCTGAACAATGTATAATTTTTTTTTTTTTTGGATGTAACACATATTTGTTAATGAAACATATTCCCAAAAAACTATTATTCTTGTACGTGATTGGAAAATGAAAGATCACATTTGTATATTCGACAATCATTTGCCTATTTCATAAGGCATTTTTTCATCCTGTATAGTATAGGACTTATTTTTTTATGTTAAATAGAAACTGAATGCACTGGGTTGAACAGTGTTCCCCCAAAATTCATGTACTTCTTAGAGCCTCAGAATGTGACCTTATTTGGAAATACTGTGATTGTGGTTGTAAGTAGCTAAGATGAGGTTATGCTGCAGCAGGGCAGACCCTTAATCCAATATGACTGGTGTTCCTCATAGGAGAAGTTAGGGCAGTCGTGGTGGCTAACGCCTGTAATCCCAGCACTTTGGGAGGCCAAGCTGGGTGAGTCACTTGAGGCCCAGGAGTTCAAGAACATCCTTACCAGCATGTTGAAAACCCATCTCTACTAAAAATACAGAAATTACCAGGCATGGTGGCTGTGTGCCTGTAATCTTAGCTACCCAGGAGACTGGAACCCGGGAGGTGGAGGTTGCAGTGAGCCAAGATCGCTCCACTGCACTCCAGTCTGAACAACAGAATGAGGCTGTCTCAAACCAAAGAAACAAAAAATAAATAAATAAATGAATAATAATTTTTTTAAAAAAGAGAGAGAGAAAGAAGATAGAGACACAGGAGAATGCCACATGGAGCTGGAGGCAGAGATTGGAGTGATACACCGTGGCAGCCATCACAAGATAGGAAAAAGCGTAGAATAGAATCTCCCTCAGAGTTCCAGCAGTTGCCAACCCTGCTAACATGATTTTGTACTTCTGGCCTCCAGAACAGTGAGAAAATGTATTTCTGCAGTTTTAAGGAACCCAGTTTGTGGTAATTTGTTATAGCAATCCTAAGAAACTAATACTCTGACAGAAAAAACTCTTGGGTAATATGCATGAGAAAAATTCTTCGATAAACGCAAAATCGGTTTCAAAATGTTTTCATGTAAAAATAGATTAATTTTGCTGTAATTAGGCTGTGTTTTATAGTCATTATTGTCTGCTTTTTAGTCTTTGTTGTAGGATGCATCATAAAATACATGAATGAGTTTTAAATGATTGACTTTGGAGAATGGTTTTAGGAAGTTCATATAGTACACAGAAATAAAAGCTGATGTTACAAAGAATGTGCATTACTTTTCTAATAAAATATTTCTGAATCTCTGTCTTGACTGCCTTCTATGAATCATTTTAGCATAGTATCAATGTCATTGTGTAGTACATCAGTTCTACAGTTTTTAGTTTATTCAGAAATAAAATTTAGTAACTAGAATTTTTAGATAATATCTATTTTTATTTATTTTTAAAATGGTGTATTAGTTGCTATGTTCTTTCAGGTATCTAGGGGTGTACTTGAAAGACACTAATCATATCTATATGTCTTTTCTATTTCATGTAGTGTATGATACATGATTTGTGCTTAAATTCATTTATAGCGAACTATTTGTTGTGCAACAACCAGTAGTTTATAAGAGAATATAGTATGCCTAATTAGGTTTTTGAAATGAACTAGTATTTCTTAAAATTCACTTGCAAATATTTGAAAATTATGTTTTCTTTAGTCTTCGCAGAGTATTACATATCAGAGGTTTTTAAAATTTTTGTTTCTAAATTTTGTTTTCAAATAAGCAGAGATAATAATGAGTCTGTACTGCAGGCTTTTAAAAAAATAATATTACTTTCATTTGAAATCTCTTATTCAAAAACTATAAGACAGTTCTTAATGAGATTTAATGGCTTAAAAAAGGAGAAAAATATATGTATATATTCATTCAAGGATATATTAGAAGCTATTTAGGAAGAAATTTTAAAAATATACCTTTCTCACTACTCTTCCTCTTTTTATATACCATCCCTTCTCCTCTGTTCACATTGGTATGTGATTTTGAGGTGACATTAATTATCTCTGGAAAAAGAAATATTAGGTAATTTTGGCACATACCATGATAAACTAAGCCTTTCATGTTAAATCTTTTTAACAGATAAACACTAAGAATTGCTTCTGGTTAAAATTCCACACTATTAATTTTACTGCAACTATTTTTCTATTTGGTTTTCATGATTGCTTCGTATTCTAATTGATATTTTTTTGTGTAGCAGCATTCTGTAACAGAAAGGGACAAGCATTTAAACAAAGAATTTTGTGAGGTGCTTGATATATATAAATTTGAAATCCTGGTCAAAGATATATTTTTCTCATAACCACAATACCATATGTTTGATGTTGATTGAAGCATGGTTTGTAAAAATTAACACTGTATTCTAAAGAGGCTGGGTTGTATAACAAACGTAACTATTTTTGTATTATTTTCTCAAATTTTATCTGTTTATAGCTGCTATCTCCAAGTAATGTTTGGTAACACAGGATGATCTGTGTGAATGCTAAGAGAAAGTTTACCTATAAATTATTTTCTTGAGTCTAGTTACAGCATGAATTTTTGAAAAAATTTAAAATGCAGAGTTGTGCAATATACAATGGTCATAGTTCATAATGTCTATCATAAAATTTTTCACTGACTTTTTGACCACTTCACTTCCTTCTCTTATAATCGGACCAAATTATTAGGCAACAAAGTTAAAATAAATTAATATTTTAATATGCAAAGCAGGATATTGTGTCTTTAGTGATGTTACTTTAAATACTGAGCAAGTTTTCTACCATTTGCAGTTGTCCTATTAAATATATCATTGGTCAAATGTTGAATACAAAGCTGAAATCAAACAAGAGGACATGCTTCATTTCTGATTCTTGAATAACTATTGTTCATTAAACCCCATCTTTATACTTTGGCCAATAATACTTGCCTGCCTTGCACAAATGAGGATTTGTATTACTAAACCATCAAATGGTATGATTCCTCATAATTTTACAAGGAAAAGTATTATTATTCAAGTCATATAGGTGCTAAGTTGAGGAGAAGACCGTATAGCATTGTGAATAACGTTATTGGCTGGTGACTCTGAAAACAGGGTTTGAATTCTAGTCTGCATATAATAGCTGAATGTACAAACTTGGGCATCCTATTTAATCTATTGAATTCTCATTTATTTCATTTTAAGATGTGAATATTATTGGTACTTTCTCAGGTTTCTGTGAATCAAATAGAAGATAAATGTTTAGGAACTGAAAGTAAGAATTAAATGAGATAATGCACTGCTATATTTTGGAGATGATTTATTTGACCCCTGCAAATCTCATATTGAAATTTAACCTCCAGTGTTAGAGGTGGGACCTAATAAAAAGATGTTGTAGTCATGAGAGAGAATCCTACATAAATGGCTTGGTGCCATCCCCATAGTAACCATTGTTTTTGCTGTATCAGTTCCCAGAGAGCTGGTTGTTAAAAAGAGCCTGGTGCCAGAGAGCTGGTTGTTAAAAAAGCCTTGCACCTTCCTCTTCTCTCTCACTTCCTCTCTTGCTGTGTGATTACACACCATCTCCCCTTTGCCTTCAGCCATAAGAGGATCCAGCCCAAAGCCCTCACCAGCAACTGATAGTGCCATGCTCTTGTACAGCCTACAAAACCATAAGCAAAATAAGCCTCTTTTCTTTATAAATTACCCAGCCTCAGATATTCTTTGCAGAAATAAAAATGGACTGAGACTTGCATGTAAAGCAGTCAGCACAATTTTGGGCACATTGTAAATACTGAGTACATAGTGCTGCTATTTTGCTGGAAAATATTTACCAAAATGTAACTTACATTTCTGGGCATTATGGTTAAGGTTGTCTTTTGTTCTTTTCCTTGGTCTTTTTCTTTGGTAGTTTTAAGTGCAGCCTCTGCATCACTAGCAGCAATTGATAGGGTTATAGTCTGTTTTATTATTTGGGGATTTCATTCCCATTTATTATTTATTAAACACTCGCAATATTTGCTA